TGAGTTTATTTTTGGCATTTGTTCCTGTATTATTTTCCTGAATTCTTCCATTTTTTTGTCTGTATTTTCCATGTATTTGTCTATTTTTTCCTCATTTTTGTCTGCTTTTTGCTTCAGCTCTTGGATAGCTCTGAATATGAGAGATTTGAATTCCCTATCAGGTAGTTCTAGTGTCTTTTCTTCTACTGGAAAGTCATCTGGTGTTTTATTTTGGACACCTACTGGAACCATCCTGTCCTGTTTTTGTATATGTTTTGATATTGTCTGCTGTCTTCGGGACATTCAGTAGTTACTTTCCTTGTTTATTAATTGTAGATTTGTTTGTTTCATCCTGCTTTTTTATTTGGTTATGTCTGAACAGGCAGGATATGCATTTTTTGTTGTTTGTTCATCTCTGGGCACGATACTTTTCACCTCCTTGTCTAATGAACAGGGTCAGTCACTCAGCTATGGTGCAGCTGGGCAGGTCCACCTGAAGGGGAGTTGCTGCAATGGGTTGTTTGTGACACATACTAGGGCCGACAGGGTGGGCCGGGAATCATTGCAGGACAGGTTCCCGTAGACCATGCCTGTGCTACTTGGGTGGTGATGTTCAATGCACGGTGCAAGCGAGCAGGAAGGAAGGGGGAGATTGTGATGTGTGGAGCTAAGATGGACATGGGAAAGAGGAGAGAGAGGAGAGAGAAACAGGAGCAAAAAATAAACCAACAAACAAAAAAGAGTGCTAAGGGAGCTTGCCGTTGGAGTGGTGTCTTAGTCGTCTAGTGCTGCTATACCACAAGTGGATGGTTTTAACAATGAGAAGTTTATTTCCTTACAGTAAAGTAGCTAAAAGTCCAAATTCAGGGTGTCAGCTCCAGGGGAAGGCTTTCTCTCTCTGTTGGCCTTCTCATCGGTGTTCCCCTGGACTAGGAGCTTCTTGGCACAGGGACCCCAGTCCAAAGGACGCGCTCTGCTCCTGCCAGTGCTTTTTTGATGGTATGAGGTCCCCGTCTCACTGCTCACTTCTCTCTTTTATATCTCAAGAGATTGCCTCAGGACACAATCCAGTCGTGTAGATCCAGTCCTGCCTTACTAACACACCCGCCACCCATCTTCTGTCATTAACATCATAGAGGCAGGATTTACAACATATAGGAAAATCACACAGTACCAGGAATCATGGCCCAGCCAAACTGATATACACATTTTTGGGGGGACATAATTCAAACCATGAGAAGTGGAGAGATGAGAGACAGAGAAAGGGAGAAAAACAAAAAGGAAAAATGAAAGAAAAAGGGTAAAAGAAAAAAATAAATAAAAATTAGGGGGAAAAAAAAAGGAAAAGAAAAGCCTCCAGGGATTCAACTTGGGTGGCTGCGAAGACTGGGGAAGTGGCTTCCAGGCCCCGAAGTACAACCTGAGTAGAAGGGGTAGAGGTGTCATACAGCACCAGGTATTCAGGAGACGGGAAGAGAAGGTAAGTATAGAGAGATGAGAAACTGAGAAATGAAGAAAGATGAAAAGGGGAAAAGAAAACAAGAAAAGAATGTCCCAAGGATTCCACCACATGGCTGCACAGACTCAGGAAGTAGCTCTTAAGCCACACAGTACAGCCTGGCTAGAAGGGGCTCGCAAGGTGAGAAAAGAAAACAAACAAATCAAAACAGAAAGCCCCGGGGATCCCACCAGTGTGGTGGCGCGGTCCGGGAAGCAGTTTTACAGTTGAGCGGCATTTCACAGCCTTTCAGGGAGAGGCAAAGATGGCACACGGAGCCAGGTATGTGAGAGAAGGGAGGAGGAGGTGGTGAGAGGTATGGAAGAAACCAAAAGAAGTGGAAAAAAGCAACACCAGCAACAAACAAATGGCAGTCAGGGAGCCGGCCAGTGTGGGCAGGTGGAATCCAAGAGACAAAGGGCTGAACCTGGTGCCTCCTGGACAAGAGACTGTGGCCACTGGAAGCAGAGGAGGCCGAGTTGGGGTGAAGACATTTGGGCAGTGGGAAAGTGTATATCAGTGGTTACCGGTGGTTGTGTCTCCTACTGGGAGCTCCGTGAAGCTGCTTTCCCATACTCCCTGTTCACTGATCTCTGATAGGAGTCCAAGATGGCGAATCTGTGCTACGTTAACTGATAGGGGACCTCTGCACATATCTCTCCTCGCTCTCTGTTCTCCGTCAGTTTCTTATTCCATTCGGTGCTTGGCTGAGTTCTTTGTCTATTCATTTAATGCTTAGGGTTTCGGGATTGATGTCAGTCTCTGTGTAACTTAGTTTTTTGGGTCTTTTCTGTGGAGGGATGGCGTGGTACTACTGTCTGTAGTGCCATATTGCCTAGAAGTCCCTGAATGTAAGTTTTTCAACTCATTTTGGTAAATATCTAAGAGCACAATTGCTGGATTGTATGGTAAGACGTGTTTAGCTTTATAAGAAACTTACAGATTGTCTTCCAAAGTGGTTCTACTATTTTACATTCCCACTGGTAGAGAATGAAAGTTCCTGTTCATCCACATCCTCACCAGCATTTGGTGTTGTCAGCATTTTGGATTTTAGCCATTCTAATTGGTATATAGTGCTTTAATTTGCAATTCCCTGGTGATATATGATGTTGAGCGTTCTTTTCATATGCTTATTTGTCATCTGTATATCTTCTTTGATGAGATATCTGTTGACATATTTTGCCCATTTTGTAATTGGGTTGTTTTCTTGTTGTTGAGTTTTATGAGTTCTTTGTATATCTTGGATACAAGTTCTCCATCAGATATATGTTTTGCAAGTATTTTCTCCCATTCTCTGCTTGTCTTTTCTGTCTTTTCCCAGTATTTTTCACAGAACAGAAGTTGTAAACTTTAATGAAGTCCAACTTACAATTTTTATTTTTTCATGGATCATTAATTTGGTGTTGTATGTAAAAATGCATTGCCAAACCCAAGGTCACCTAGATTTTCTCCTATGTTATCTTCTAGAAGTTGTATATTTTTGCATTTAACATTTTGGTATGTCATACATTTTGAGTTAATTTTTGTGAAAGGTGTAAGGTCTGTGCCCAGAGTCATTTTTATGCATGTGAATGTCCATTTGTTCCAGCACCATTTATTGAAAAGACTATATTTTCTCCATTGAATTGTGTTTGCCCCTTTGTTAATGATCAGCTGACTATATTTGTGTGGGTCTCTTTCTGGGCTCTCTATTAGGTTCCATTGATCTGTGTGATCTATGTGTGTATTCTTTCATCAGTGTACACTGTCTTGATCACTGTAGATTTATAGTAAGTCATGAAATCCGTAGTGTCAGTCCTCTAACTTTGTTCTTCTTCAGTATTGTGCTGGTTATTCTTGGTCTTTTGCCTTTTCATGTAAACTTTGGGATCGATTTGTCGATATCTGCAAAATAACTTGCTGAGATTTTGATTGGTATTGGTTTGAATATATAGATATTGTTGGGAATAATTGACATCTTCATACTATTAAGTTTACCTATTCATGAACATGGAATATCTCTCCATTTATTAAGATCTGCTTTGATTTCTTTCATCGCGATTTTGTTTTCCTCATATAGATCTTGTATATATTTTGTTACATTTATACCTAAAAAATTTTTGGTGCTAATGTAAATGATGTTGTGTTTTTAATTTCAAATTTCAATTGTTCATTGTCTTTTTTCTTTTTCACCTTTCTGTATTTTATGTTTTAGAAGTTGTTTTTGTAGCTACCATATGGTTGGATTTTTAAAAATCTAGTCTGGCAATATTTATATTTTGTTACAAATAAAAGACATTTCTGTACTAATACAATTACTAATGTATTTCACCTTACATCTGTAATCTTCCTAATGCTGTTTTCCTCTCAGTTCTATATTCATTTTTTCTTACCTCCTTTGGTATTAAGCATTTTTATTATTTCGTTTTCCTCTCTCTTAACTTGGAAGGTATACCCCCATTTTCTATCCTACCCACTTTTGTTATCATTTTTGTACCCACTCTAAAAATTATAAAGTCTAACATTATCAAAGTCTAACATTAATTAGTATTTTTACCCTCTTTCTGGATAATGCAGGGATCTAGAAACACCTTAGCTCAATTTATCACCTTTTGTCTAGGCTCTTACCTGGAGGCTCTGGGTGAGAATCCACTTCCAGCATCATTCAACTTGTTGCCATAATCTAGTTCCTTATGGCTGCAGAAACGAAGTTCCCATTTTCTTGCTTGCTGTCATCTGTTGGTCATTCTCAGCTTCTAGAGGCCAGCTGCATTCCTTGGCTTACGCCTCCATCTTTGAAGCTAGCAATGATGTGTCAAGTCCTTTTCATACTTCACATTTCTCTGACTTACCCTTCTGCTACATCTCTCTGACTTCCTTTTCAGCTTTTAAGAGTTTGTGTGATTACATTGGGTTCACCCGGGTAATCCAGGTTAATCTCCCTATTTTAAGGTCAGCTGATTGGTAACCTTAATTACATCTGCACAGTCTTTTTTTACCTTTTAATGTAACTAACTACTTGTGTGACACTAGAGGACAAAGACTACGGGGGCCAGAATTCTCTGTGTGTATAAGTGTATATATATATATATATATTCTCTTCTCTCATTCCCCTCCCATTGAACATGGATGTGTTAACAGTAGTTAACCTTATATATCAATACTTTAGACAAATCAGCATCACCCAATGGTATCCTTTTTGGGGAGGGTTAGTGTGTTTTTGGTTATGTGAGGGATAATCACATCATGTTAGACAGAAGTTATGGATGGTTGAAAGAGGTGCCTATAGGTGTCAAGTTGACAGTGGGTGAACTGTGGTGGTGTACTAATTGGGTCATCTTAGCTAAACTGATAAGTGTATTTCCCAGAATTCCCTTTCCAGTGTAGGACTGGATTAGTAGACATCCCAAGAAAGATTTGCATGAAATTTGGAAGGGAGAAGTGAAGCAGCAGTCATTATTTTACACTCTGAAGGTCAGTGATGGCCCTGGATACTATGGCAGCCTGCTTGCAATGTCAGTGTCTGGTAGCTTACTTAGTTGACATGGACCAGCACTTGGGCCTACAGCTCTCCCTGCTCCTGCCAGATCTTCAACTTCTCCAAGTCCAGGGCCAGATAAGCATGCAGCTTGATGAAGGGTATCAACTTCTGCAGGTCACTTGCATCACCCATATCAGAAGGAGGTAGTGGTAGACATACACAGGTTCCATTTGTTCTCATTGGTTCCAGTTCATTCTCATGAGTTTCAGTATGTTCTTGCTCTCTCACACTTTATGTTCAGCTTTCCTTCCTAACTGCTGACCTGTCTGACCTCTAGCAACTGTAGGCCAAACATCAGAACAGATGCAACAGCCTTCTCTAGCAGCTCCCATAATATGTGGTCTAATCACTACAATAAATTCTTATTCTATAACACTCATAGTTGTTCTTCTCTGAGTGATCCCAGACTGGTACAGTGTTTTTAATCATGTTGGAAAAGTTCTTAGCCGTTGGTTCTTCAACTGTTGTTTCTGTGCCATTCTCTATCACCTCTACTTCTGAGGCTCCAATTTTATGTATATTAGACCTTTTCTCTTTACCCCATAATCTCTTACCCTTTCATCTGCACTTTTCATTTTTTTCTCTGTTTCATTCTTGATACCTGCTTCTGACTAATTCTTCATTTGAACAATTCTTTTCAGCTTTGTCTTACCTACTGTCACACTCACCCATTGAGTTAATTTTTGTTGCTGTATTTTTCTTTCTAGAATTTTTAATTGATACCTTTTTTAATAGTTCTCTCATGAAATTCACAATTTTGTCCCAGTCTGAACACATTAAGGATAGTTATTTAGAAGTCCGTGTCTGATACCTCCATTATCTAGATTAGCTAAGGGTCTTTTTCTGTTGTACATTGTTTCTTTTGACTTTCACTAATGTGGTCTTTTCCTAGTGTGCCTGATTGTTTTTGCTTGAATGCTAGACATTGTATGATATGGATCTGGGGAGGTTCCCACTGGGATGGCTACTTCGCTCTTTCCTTCTTCTTGGTGTGTCTTGTAGTCCCTCACCAAAGAGAATATTCTTTCTTATTTTTAATGTAGCTATTTGTTCATTGATCTATTGTTTATATATTTTAAAATATAATTTCTCCAGGTTTTGTATGGAGATGAGGGAATTTCAGCATATTATCACTGTGCTATATTGAATGAAAAATTTAAATTCTTTGGCATATGTACCTAGACTAAGTATAACATTATTTCTCTTAGCAGATCATTAGCAGTTTTCCTCTCATAAAGTACTTCAAGAACAGAAAAATTTAGGACTGTTTTTAAAGAGCCCAAATCTCTCACACAGAACAGAGTAATTAATATGTGACTATGATTACAATTATATAAAAAATATACATGCACATGGATAAGGAACCTGCCAAAATGGAAAGTATTAATTTTGTTAAGGAGTGATATTATGGGAAGATGTTTTCCTTTTCTGACATTCTAGAATCTCCGTATTATTATATTGTTTTATTAAAGAGGATATAATTTTTGAATATATATTCTAAGTAACGCTTTTTAAAAATAATCTTACCATTATAACAGACCCCACTAATGTACCCAGTTGCCTACAGGACAAAGTTCGAACTCCTCAACTAAATACCCCCAAAGATCTTCAAAAATCTGTTCCCAGACCTCTTCTCTTATCTCCCTCTGGTTCTCCTATGCCTCATTCAGTCCTGTGTTGTCCCATCCTTGACGGAAACTCTACTGCTTTCTGCTGTGTATTAAAGATTGAAACACGTTTTTTCAGGGCCATTTACTTAACTACAGGAATCTGGTTCTACTGGTCCATTGTTTTGTTGTCTCTTTTTGGGATCCTGACTGCCTACACTTCACTGCTGTTGGTGAGTAATGCTTCCCATTTTCCCCCAGTCTCTTCATTAGTAGACTCATGAGGTGCTCCTGTCCCTAGTATGGTACTCAGTTGGATCTAGAGCCCCAAAACCTAAGATCTCCCTTGTTTTAGCAGAGCTTGGTTTTATGTCAGCTACATGAATTTAGGCACAAGAGGTAGAGGGGAAAAAAGGGTTGTGCTATTAGAGAATGTACCTTACCAATTTGGCCCCTTTAAAGGGTGGCAGAATATCTTCTTTCTATTCCTCTGTTTCATAGCCTATCCTATGGTTCATACAGTACACAGTATTGTAATTCTAGACACCCACAGCTTCCCGTCAGCAATACCTTTACACACTGAACTATCTCTTTTCATATTCCATCCCCTGAGAATCAGTCTTTCTGGGCCTTACAAATTATATTAGCTGGATTGTTAAACCTCTCCTACTATGCAGATGGTAGTCACCTAGCCCAGATGAAAAGCACATTTGAGCACAAGTCTTTGGGCAATAGTGACCCTGCCTCTTTGCCTGACATAGTAGTGTAGTGTGGTGTGAGAATTTCAAGCCAGGGAAAAGAAAAGTCTGTGGAAATAGGAAGCTTATGGGAGGATAACTTCAGGCAATTGGAGTTTTTTAGTACTCACACATACATAGGGCAGACATGTCTCTCTGAATCTACTGTTCTCTGTCCCTACTGATTTCCTGTCTGACACAGAAGAACCCAACCCCCAAATCAGCTGCCATTTGCACTAATATTTTTCTTTCAACAAAATTTATTCAGTATTACTATGAGTAGAACATTGTGCTAAGTGCTGAGAATACAGAGATCAACAAAACGTATGTAATGTCTGTTTCATGCACAGTATTTCATAGAAATAGGTATGAGATGCAAGTGAAACAACCCCTTCATGCAGTGAGGTTAGATCTAGCAGGGCTCAGTTATGGACAAAAATAATTAACAAAAGGCAGAGCATTATAATTGACATTGGAGAGCCTAAATAAAGTTCTGCAGGGGTTCTGAGAAGGAGGGGGTTAACTTCCAGCCATGGTTATTAAGTAAGACTTCATGAAGAAGATTGTACTAGAATGAGATCTTTAAGGGAATGTTGGATTTGGACTACAGATACTGGAATGGGGAAGAATATTCCAGGCTGGAGGAACATCATAACAAAGGCAGTGAGGCAGAAAAATACAGGGTATGTCTAGAAAAGAGAGAAAGGTCAGTTCTGTTAGTATGTAGGACATAATGAAGAATAATGGGGAACATGACTGAAAAGTAGGGTTGTAACAGATTTTGGAAGACCTGGAAGGCAAGACTAAGACATTTGGAATAAATCAGATTTTTATTTTAGGAAAATCATTCTGGAAGTTGTGGTTGGAGCTTAGATGCAGAGAGACCAGTTAGAAAGTTTTTTGTTTTTTTTTTTTTAAATAAGAAAAATACCGACGAAGGACATGCTCTAAGCCAAACCCTGGCCATTGAATTACACCATTTTCATAGACAGTAACCATGAATTGGTAAAGTTAGCTTCTCAGGTGGGAATGAGTCCTAGTGCCCAGTAAACCAATATATTTTAACAAACTTTCTACTCTACCCTACCACCCTACCTCTTTTTGGATACCTATAATGGCAACAACAGTAAACATGGAGGGAGACCTGAGTCTATTTCTTGCTCTCTTTAAGTTCTTTTGTAACCTTGGTCAAGTTATATAACTCTTTCGAGACTCTGTTTCTTTCTTTCAAGTGAGAATTATAATATTTAATAAAATGATATTTCATAGGACTTGGTAAAGGACAAATGAAATATATATTATTTTGATAAAAAGATAAAGGGCCTTACACATTCAAATTATGATTAATATACAAGGCATCTGAGGAGTACTCCAATTTTAAGTTTTCATCTCTGCACTGGCTTGGTAACTGGCTAAATGTAGGCCAAATCTAAGATTTTTTGAGTACGTTCCAGTGTTAACAACAGTGGTAGCCATAGTGGTAATTTTACATACCATTTCCCCAAGAAAGAGCTTTTAAAAGACCATCGGAAGGGCTGGCCTCTGACCTTGATCCTCTTGCTAGTTGGTTTGAGTAATGCCAGGAGTAAAGTCCAGCACAGGGGACAAGAATTGGCAGGAACTCGGAAAGAGTATTACTGGGATGATTGTTATAAAATCCCCCAGGAGAGAATAATTAATTCTTCCTGGGAATGCTAGTATAATTTACAAATAGGGGGTAACATTTGAACTGGCTTTGAAGGGTGAAGAAATGGGGAGAGAGAGCTTTTCACGTAGAGGAACAGCATGGCAAAGTCCCAGAGGCTAAGAAGTGCAGGTATAGCAAGAAGTGACTATAGTGCCAGACTATGAAAGGAATTTTGAGCTACAGAACAATGGTTTGAGCAGCAGCTTGGTGATTTCAAAATTACCTCCTCTTTCCTCTTTTGTAGGTACTTGGATTTTTGTTGGTTTGGGAAGGGAACAAACTATACCTGCATTGGTGTCATAAGGTAGGACACCTGAATCCTCAAAGAAGCCCTTAAAACTAGGACTGACTGTGCCTCCCTGGCACTCAGTGTTAAGTTTAGAATCAGTCTTTCTTTCACTGTTTCCTCTAGAGAGAAGAGATTTACTTACACGATTTTGACTGAGATAATTTCTACTAGATGTAACTGGTTTATTGAGGGAGTTGAACCCAAAATGAATTCAAACTTTATTCTTTCTTACCACTACCTGTTAAACCTACTCTGTGGCCTTGTTCGTTCCACCCTGAAAAAATCTTAGACAAGGATCTTAGGAAAGGTCCACTAGTTTTCAGTCCTTTTTAGTCACAAAAACATTATTATTTCAGTCATTGAAAATTTTGGTTCATTGTAGTAATGCAAACTCCAACTTTATTAATCTTAAAATTTCTTCCCTCCTCTGTTTGGGCCTGATTCAGGCCTGGAAGCCTGTGCTTGTAGAGAGGGCGTAGGGTCCTCTTCCCTCTGGTCATCTCGGTTATTCTGTCTGGACCAGATAAATGCACAGTTCCTGGCTATTTTCCTCGTGGATTGCTTCTGTGTGTCCCCTTCTGCTGAAAACCTTGACTTCAACTCTCCTGATGGAGTCATTGTCTGTCCTCCTTCCTGATATTTCTCTGTTGAGGTCCTTTTGACCCTCCCTTTTGTGGTATCCCTTTAAGATGACACCAGCATGGTTTCTCTCAAAGGGTCCATACCTGGTTCCCAGAAAACAGGCAACTTTGTCCACTATCTGTGGACATGCAGCTCATTTCCAAAATAAACCTCATTTTGTTCTGCCACAGGTAGGAGCAGCTCCATCCCAGCCATTTGCTTTTTTATAGGCTTTTCCAACAGTGGCTCTGATAACTATTCCTTGTATTTCCCCAAATCCAGAAACATGTCAAACTCTGTAAGTGGTCCCCTTAAATCTTCTCTTACTCAAATGAGAAGTATGAACTGGAAATACAAATTTAGGAGTCGTCAGAATAAGTAAAAATCAAAGTCATGAGATCTTCTAGGAAAAGAATGTAGACTGAGAAGTGAACACATAGATCTTAGTGAGATCACCATTTTGGAGTTGGGACACTATGATCAATTAGTCACTACCAGTTTATCCAGGGCTTCTAACTGGCTCATTCCAGTTTGAACCCCTGCTGAGAATTTGCATTTCCACTCCAGATACACTGAATCAGAATCTACATTTTAACAAGATCCCCAGGGATTCTTATGTATAATAAATTTTGAGAACCACTGCTCTACAGTTCTCAGAATTGGTCCCTAACCAGCAGCATTAGCATCACCTGGGAACTTGTTAGAAATGCAAATTCTGAGCAGGAGTTCAAACCAGAATGAACTGGTTGAAGCCCTGAATTTATCTGAGTTAAATTATTCTGATTACCATTCCGGTCTTGTGTCTATTGTAGAAACCATGCCCACCTTGTCTCTGGCAGTTTAGTGCTGCTGCTTGGCCTCCACTACAGCTGGATGTCATCATACCCTTTGAAATTAGGGAGCTAGCATCTCTCATCTTTATTTAGGTGTAGAGGATAGCCATAACAGTGCTTTTTAAGTATACTGGCACTTTCATGGAGCCCTGGTAACACAGTGGTTAAGAGCTCAGCTGCTAACCAAAAAAAAAGGTCAGCAGTTTGAATCCACCAGCTGCTCCTTGGAAACCCTAAGTGGCAGTTTTGCTCTGTCCTATAGGTTTGCTATGAGTCAGAATCAACTCGACAGCAATGGTGTATTTTTCACTGTCCTCTGAGACCTCCCAAAGAACGTGATGGGGGTAGGGGAGTTGATCATAGGGGATACTATTCCAACAACTTTTTCTCCCTAAATCTTTGGATTTTTTCTTCTGTGCCAAGAAATTGCTATCATCTCAATTTAATTAGACATAGGCCACTATGGAGCCAAGGTTCCAGACAATTAGAACAATCCAAAGCTGCTTAATACTTGGATACTGATATATTGAATCCAGAATCTCTGGTAAGTGCAACTTTATCAATAAATTTAGCCTGATCTAAAATTATGTTCTCTTCTCCTGGTCTAGTGTCTTTAGAACTCATTCCTACACGTACGCTACAGGATTTTTGCCAGTATAAATTAGCAAAATCTTGCTATTCTTTTGTAAACCTTAATCTCCTGAGGCATTCTGGGAACTAATTGCAGTTATAAGTCTGTAGGCAATGAGAGATGATGGAGGTGGGGTATGAGAACAGTTGGTATCCCCTTGGAAGGTAACTACCTCAGTTGAGCCTTTAAGCAAGGAAGGACCAGGCTTACTAGACTTAGGAGGAGAGACTGCTGTTGGCAAGATAGATTCCGTAGCACTTGGAATTTCAGTCTTAATGTCATAATAAATCCAACAAGGAAAAGCTTAGCTACGGGCCTATAGCCCATTTTCCTTCTACCTAGGATATCCAGGGTGGAATGAATGACCTAAATCAAAACTCCTTGTAAACATGCTAATAACCATATATCCTGGTAAACACACAAAGGTGTTTATTAGCCAAAAGATAATGTGTAGTCCTTATCTATGAATTTTTTTAGCAGGATATACCTAGTATAACTAGGTTGCTTGTTGTAAATCTAAATAAACCTAGAATTTGCAGATTTATGGGGTAGGGAACATGACTGGCTAGAGTTATATAATTTATGGTATATAAAATAGGGATGTTCTATAACTGGAATGGCCCATTTTGTGAGGCAGTGTTTCCACATATGTTGCTCAGAACATACCTCCCATTTCTAGTCCTGAACCAGAATGTATCCTAATGTAGGAGAGGGAAGACCTTTTTTGACAGGATTGGATTTCTCCAAGGACGAATGTTTTGTGTCTACCTTATGATTGTGTGTATCCTTTAAGTCAATAGTAAACTTTGGTGTTGGGTAAGATCTGTGATTTATCAGTCTGATTTGGCAGCTTTTTTCATCTATTAAAATATTTATTGGATGCTTACTATATGTTGGACAGTCTGCAAGACACTGAGGATGTAGTAATAATACAAATACTATCCTTGACCTCATGAACATTACAGTCTTTTGGAGAAAACATACACTGAAGAGGTAACTACAAAATATTATTTACTTATAATTATACTGAGTCGTATAAATAAGAGAACATTTGTAATGGCCATTGTTGAGAATAAGTGAGGGATGCCAATTCAGATTGAGAGTCCGGTTGAGGCTGGAAGTGATAAATTAGTAATAGCATCAGACCACATGGCTGTCTAATTTTTTCTAGCCATGCTATACAACAGACTTAGGAGCAGAGAATGTGAATGATTGGATCCATCTAATACTGAGAGTTTGCAGGATGGTTAAATTAAAAGAATGAGGGAATGAGGACTGATGTTGTGGGAACACACATATAATCCCCAAGGACAGTTCTGGTTCCAGCTTAGTGCCTGGAAGTCAGGAGATCCTTTCTGTTTCTCCAGATCCTGGTTTTGCTAGTGACTGCAGTAGCCGTCGCTTTGTTGTGGGTTTTATGCAAATTATGGAAAGACAAGTGGCTGATACTTGGGCTGTCTCTGAAGGTAAGCATCATCCTGCAGTTCTAGCGCTGTCTGTCCAGGTGTATCCAGCCTGACTTCTGGCTTTCTCCCAGGTCTTTGCTCCCTACTGGCACCTGGCCTGCATAACTTTGATGATTATCTTTTCATGGCCTGTGTCCTACTACTTGGTCCAGTTGGAAGGAGAAGGTATGTCATGTTGGCCAGACCCTTGCCTGACCCCTTCAGCTCTGGCTTTAGCCCATATACTCCACTCAGCGAAACAGAACCTTGGTAGCTAGTCATCCCTATGCCTCTTTGAAATTAGCTTGTTACTCAGGCATGTTCCTTGTGGTCTCACTCCCTGCTGTAAATGGTCTGTCATAGTATTTATTTCCCTGACCAAATAGGTGTTCTAAAGACGGATTCTCCTAGAAAAGTAAGATTTTTTTCTATGTTGTTACATATTGACTATCTGGGGATGAGTGGGGGCAGTGGGACCATTTTAATTTTATTTGACCAGAGTGTTGGTAAGAGTCACAGTTCTTTCATTTTGGTTTAGAGAGTATTACTAGGTTTAATGAAATTATACCAGACCCAGAGATCCCTGGTTACCTCCCTGAAACTCATAGCAGGCCCCTGTGAGTCCCTGCCACACCTAAGGGCTGACAGCAGGAGCAGAGATTTCTAGTTCTGCCACTGGTTTTCTCTCAATCTTTGCCCTAATAAAATGGAAACAGAATCAGCTGTACACTTAATTGTTTTGAGAATGGAGTTATCTCTCCCCACCCCTACTGAGGAACCAATAGGATCTTCTCTCTTAGCCTCCCTGTTTATCATTGGTTTGGTATAAGGTATTTGCTTCTTGATTTGTGGAAGGATGCATGCAGGAGAAAGACTGAATTGATAGTGGTGCTGTTGTACATATGTGTATTTGTGTATGTGTCTGTGGAGGATGAACTTTAGGAAGTGTTTCTGGGGCAAGAACTTAAAGGTAACAATAATGAACCCTTTTCTTTTTACTTCCTAAATTTTAGCTAGATACAGAAGATACATGATGACATATTACGAGAGAGGAAAAACCAAGAAATGTCATGTACTCACAAGGTTGAAAGGTTAGAGCTGGAGACCTAGATTTGAAAGTCAATGAAGCGTATGTGGTAACTTAAAATGTACAAATGGATAAAATCTTTATAAGTCTAAAACATTAAGTGTTGGAGAATGACTAGTGATAACAGGCTGTGGACAGGCTGTGTGTATGCGTAAGAGGCAGAGAGAGAGAGAAAAGCAAATAACTACTATTTACTGAGCACCTGTTTTGAGTCAGCATTGTCGTAACAACTCTGTGAGGTAGATGTTAGTGGTGGGATAGTCCCAGAAGAAAATGAATACCCAGAGAGGTTAAGCAACAATTAGAAAGTGTCAGAGCCTGGCTTTGAACTGAGATTTCTGTCAGCTAGTACCCTTCCATTATACCGCACTGCCTTAAATATAGGGGCATATTAGGTTGATCTTTACAGGTTTAGGGCTTTCTCAAAATCAGCCAACCTCCTCCTCCTGAGAAGCTAATCCTTGACATTCCCTTTCCTTCCCTGCCTTTCCACCCGCTGCACAATTCACACCCCTGTCAGTTTCCAGTTCCAATAATGCTGCCTTAATTATAGTGCAGTATATTTGGACAGTCTTGTACTTTGACATGCAAATCTCTGAAAGTAGGTAGGGATGTGACAGAAGTAGAGTAAATTAGCCAATCCACAGAGTCAGTGAAACCCATGGGCTGGATATTTACTCAGACTGCTGCTTTGGGATAGTTAGTTGCTTGGGATGGTTCTCCATCTTTTCTCTTTTTTCTTTCTTCCCCCTTCTGCCAACTTTTTCAGCTCTACAAATGGTTGTTGGACTGCCTTTTATTATTGTCCTTTTGTTTCTCTACGTGATGCCACTGGGGATTCATTCTCCCTGCATCCAGGATAAGGAGAAGTTAGGGCCCAAGCCGACCTTCTTTGGACATAGAGGTGCCCCCATGGTAGGTCTGATCATGATGAACAAGGGTGAGTACAAGTGTGCATGGGGTGTATGGGTGAGAGAAAGGGACCTCAGAACCATAGGAGCCCCTAGAGAGGAAAGAGGTTGACATGAGATGATAAGAGTAAGGAATTAATTGTTGAGGTTAGACTCAAACCCAGGTCACCTGACTCCCACTCCATTTCTCTTTACCATCCATTTATCTTTTTTTTCACAGTTTGGGCCTGAGAATACCATGATGTCTTTTGAGAAAGCTGTTGAACACGGGGCCCATGGGCTGGAGTCTGATGTACATATAAGGTAGGAAGCAGAATCAGAGATGGGGGTGGGGGCAAGAGGGGATAAGGCCAGTGCTATGGAGGAGGACCAGTCTGACCCAAGGAATAGAGAGGGCAAGCCCTGCGGAATTTCTCTTGTACTCATATGGTGTATATGCATATACCGCACATACGAACCATATCCCCCTTACAAACCACACATCTGTACCGCCACATTCTCGATCACAGGCACAAATGGAATAAAAGGCAAACATCCTTCCACACATACCACAAATCATACACAGACTCTGTGTTTCCCACACATAATTCAAATTTGTCTCCATTGCATACCATGCACTATATACCAACACTCAACCTTAGCAGTTTATTTAACTAACATTCACTGGGTATATACTATATTCCAGACCTTCTTATGAGTGCTGGGGCAATGCAGATGAGTAAGATACAGTCCTATCTAAGAGATGTTTCCAACCCAGTGAAGGAAACATGGCATATACAAATAACCACAGTAAAAGACTGTTTGTAGTGAGCGCCTTCAAGAGAACAATGAGGCAAATGCAGTGGAGCCTCAGTGGAGGAAAAGGATGTCTCCTATTGCGTGATTTAAAAAAATACTCTGTGCTCAAGGTTGTGATTGGGTGGGGATTTGAAGGAAAAAAATAGTATTTTGTCAAGAGAGATGGGGAAAAGAGACATTCCAGGCAGAGGTGTCAGCTTATTTAAAGGCATCTAAATGAGAAATGCTAAGTTTGTACGTCCATGAGCTAACGTGTATGAATGCCAAAAGTGATGTGCTTTGTGGGCTGAAGAGGGCCATGTGAGGGGATGTATGGCTGTAGGTCTGACTGAGACTGGATTATGGAGATCCCTAAATATGTAATGGATAACCATGAGAGGTTTTAGAGAAGAGATGACCTTATTGGAGATGTGTTTTAGAAGGATTCATCTGAAAGTCTATAAGGAAGAAATGCCAGAGAGATGAGTAACAATGGCTGTAGCAGTGGTCCAAGGGGAAACGAAGGAAGACTTGGATCAGAGCAAGAGCAGGGACAAAAAGACATGCTTCACACTAAAATTTACATACGTGGGCAGCTGAGGAAGTGGGAAGTCTGAGGCCATCTCTAGCATCGGTATATTAGTGTATGTGGTGTGTACAAAGTCCCTTTGTGGCCATTCTGTGAGGCAAGCAGAACACAAATGAACATTCTATTCCACAGATGGAGGAAACTGTGGCTTACACCTGGGTCCAAAAAAGTAAAGTGTATTGCTCAGGTCATATAGCTCTAATGTACACGATAAAGCCAGGATTAGAACTAGTTGTCATGTCATCAGACCAGAGTTCTTGACATTACCCAAAAGTGACAACCTTCCATGCAGAATATTTTGAGTCAGGATTAAAACTGGAAGTTCCAGCAGAGCTCCTGGGGTCACTGGTGGAAATGTCTAGTGGTCATGGGCATAATGTGGCAAGGGTGCTGAGCTAATGAGCTCCTGGCATGTTGTCTTTCTCTCCTCTGTTACTATTGTGATTTCAAATTTGATGTAGATTATCCTTTCAACTCTTTTGTTTCTCTGCTTATAGACATTCTTATTTCCAGTTATCATCTGCTCTATGTACCTCTACCATCTGCATTCATGGTCATATCCTACCTAAGCTTTGTCATTACCAAAAACTACATAACATTCAGAGTCCAGTCAGGACACAGAAATCACAACAGTAATTTGAAAAGGAAAAATGTAATATCAACAATTACTCATGTAGAAACTATTTTGTTCTGTAAACCTTCATCTAAAGTGAGAATAGCAGCACAACCAGAGGAACGTGATCGATGTCACTCAATTGTGCATGTAGAAATTTTTGAAATGGTGTATCTTTGGCTATGTATCTTTTCACCCCCCCGAAAAAGAAAAAGGTCAAGAAGGAAGAGGGTTGACATGGCATGAGGTTGTTAACCAATGTCATAAAACAACGTGTGTACTGACTGTTTAATGAGAAACTATTTGTTCTGTAAACCTTCACCTAAAGTACAGTAAAAAAAAAAAAAAAGAATTACTCATATAGTAAAATGGGGTTAACTACTAGAAGAGGTAGAATAAGACCCCTAGGAGTACAGAGGAGTTCCTGGATGTTGTAAACAGTTAACGTCTAGGCTGCTAACAGAAATGTTGGAAGTTCGAGTCCACCGAGAGGCACCTTGGAAGAAAGCCCTGGTGATCTACTTCTGAAAAGTCAGCCATTGAAAACCTTATGGAGCACAGTTCTACTCTAACATACATGGGGTTGCCATGAGTCAGACTTGACTAGGGTAGCAACTGGTACTGGTACAGGTACAGGTAAGGAGTATGGAAGTAGCAAGCATGAAAAAAAGCAGCTACTGGAACTTCTGGTTCCAGACAAGATGGAGTAAGCAGATTCTACCCCATTCTTTCCAAGAATTAAAACATTAAGAAAAGTCTGGACAAAATTTAAAAAGCAACTAACAGAAGACTTTGAAAGGTGGAGAAAAGCAGGTAGACTGGCTAGGGTCCACAGGACTCAAGGAACAACTCAGTAGTAAGTTCCCTGGTTGTTGTTTTTTTTAATTTTGTTTTGTTTTGATTGTTTTGTTTGCCTCCTTTGTATTCTGGCTTGCACCCCAGAGAGGCTGCAATCTAGAAGCACGAAGAGATGTAGACAAAAAAAAAAAAAAAAATCTGGAAGATTTCTCTCTCTAGCCAAAGAACTTGGAAAAGGGTAGCCCGGAAGGATATAAATATTTTGACCATACCAGCCTTACTCAGGTGAACTTAACAAAAAGAACATTCCTTGCCCCTTAATCATCTGGTATTATAACCTGGGCAGACTCCTGTCTTCCATTCCTGCCCTGACATAAGAGATGTTGCCTCTCTGCCCCAAACCCTACCCAACTAGAGAGTGGGGGGAGGAGAAATCTAGAGAAGGAGATTTTCTAAACCTGTATATGAAATATTGGGCAGACATTTTTGTGGCCCATGCATGAAACCAACTAGAAGCAACAGAGAAGAAGATTTGATAACTGAGCACTGGTCTGAACACCTTCCAGGTTTTAGATTGGCTGGGTAGCACACAAGTGGGAAAGACCAGAATAACACTACAAAACCTTTGAAAACTAAATTAGCATTTGAACCACAGCTGACATAAGTGGGCCAGGACATGTGTTCTGAACCTGAGCAAGTTGACTATCTGCTAAAATAGATTTAAATAGGAGTCTCATAGTATAGTACTCAGAATGCCTATGATTGAGTACACAATTATTTATCATACCAAAACCCACAAAACTCTGATCTTGAATGAGAAAACGTAATCAATAGATGTCAGTACCAAAAGAAACAGATGTTGAAATAATCTGACAAGAATTTTGAAACAGCTGTCATAGAATGGGGAACCCTGGTAGTGTAGTGATTAAGAGCTCAGGCTGTTAACCAAAAGGTCAGCCATTCAAATCTATGAGCCGCTCCTTGGAAACCCTGTGGGGCAGTTCTGCTACGTCCTATAGGGTCGTTATGAATCGGAATCGACTTGATGGCAACAGGTTTATCATAGAATGGAGATCTTGTAGCACAGTGGTTAAGCATTCGGCTGCTAACCAAAAGATTGGCAGTTCAGATCCACTAGCTGCTCCTTGGAAACCCTCTGAGACGGTTCTACTCTGTCGTATAGGGTTGCTATGAGTTGGACTCGACAGCAATGGGTTTTTTTTTTTTTTTTGGTTTGAATCATAGAATGGCTCCAGTGAGCAATTTTGAGCACTCAAAAGGTAGAAAGTCTTAGCATATAAATAGAAGAAATAAGGAAGAACCAAATGGAAGTTTTTAAACATAATAATGCAATAATTGAAATAAATTTAAAAAAAAAACCTGAATGGGCTCAGTAGCAGAATGGAGATATTAGAGAAAATAATCAATAAGCTTGAAGACAGATCAGTAGAATTATCCAATCTGAACAACGGAAATTAAACAGTGAAAAACAGAAGAACAGAGATTATAATAATAACAAAACAAATAACAATAATCAAAGGCTTATGTCATTGGAGTCCCAGAAGGAGAAGAGAAAAAATATGAGACTGAAAAAATATTTGAAGAAATAATGGTTGAAAGTTTCCCGAATTTAGCAAAAGACATAAAACTGCAGACTCAAGAAGTTGATCAAACCCCTAACAGGATTAACGCAAAGAAATCCCATTCACATCATAATCAAATTTATGAAGACAAATATCTTGAAAGCAGCCAGAAACAAACAACACATTACTTGTAGGGGAAAGTGTTTTGAATGACAGTGGCTTTCTTGTTAGAAACCATAGAGACCAGAAAGAAAAAGCACATTTTCAAGAACTGAAAGAAAATAACTCTCAACCCAGAATTCTATATACAGTGAAAATATCCTTCAGGAATGAAGAGCAAATCGAGACATTTTCAGATGAAGGGGAGATAAGAGAATTTGTCACCATCAGACATACTAAAAAATGGCTACAGAAAGTTCTTCAGGTGAAAAAAAAGTGACAAAAACAGTAAACTTGGAACATCAGGAATAAAGAAAGAAATGGAAAGGGTAACATATAGGTAAATAAAATGGACAGGTCTCATCAGTCTGAGTTTTAAAAATTATGTTTGACGGTTAAAAACAAAAATTATTGTCCGATGTAAGTCTCAACATATTTAGAGATAATATTTAAGACAACTGTATCATAAAAGAGGGTAGAGTGAAGTTACCTAAAGGATGTTTAGGTTTCTGTGTTCTACCTGAAGTGATAAAATGTTGACACCAGTAGTCTGTGATAAGTTATGTATATATATTTTAATTCCTAGAGCAATCACAAAAAAATTATACAACGAGGTGTACTCAGAAACACAATAGATAAAAAATGTTCAGATAGCCAATAGGAAAGCAAGAAAGAGGAAATGGGAACAAAATCAGAGGGAAGAAACAGAACTAATATTAGGATGGCAGACTTAAGTCCTAACATATCAATAATTATAATAATTATAAATGATCTGAATACACCA